TTGGCTTTTTGGTTATAGATTAGGTTATCGATCTTCACGCCGGGGAGTTTCTCTCGAAGGATGCCGTCGAGATCTCGTCGTGATGTGTTGGATAACCCTTTTACGATAACCGGAGCCACTTTGAAAGGATTGGTGGGGTGGACTGTGGCGCGGTTTGTCTCTGCTTGCAGAAATTTGACACTTACTTTTCCTTTCGTTTTCTGTTTGGCGGTCGTTTGGGTTGGACTCTGGTGGTCCATTTCGGCTTGTTTCCTCTTCTCCAGCTTGTGGTTCGGTAGGTTTCGATTATGTGGTCGCTGGTTGTAATTTAATTGGTTGACGAATTGACTTGATTAGATTGATTGATTGCCCACAGAAATACATATCATAAAAAGCAGAAGAGTGAATACATATATCAGAAGAACAGAAAGGGAAAATAACCATCGAGTGACGATAAGAATATGTATATTGAAAGATGACTGCTGATATGAGATTTAGTTTATATTTCCTAACAAGAGACTGGGTTGAGGATACGGCTCGAAGAATAACTGAATAAGACTGCATCAGCCGAGAATACCTTTCTTTTTCTTTGTTCGGCACACATTCCAGAATTTTTTCTCTTGGTTCTTGCGGAAAGAATCGTCGACCCTGTTGCCCAGTAGTGCTTGTCCCGGTATTACCCGCAGAAGAGTCCACTTGATCTAGTTTTAATCCCGTTTTATTCTGAATCGACGCAAGTACCATTTGCTTTGCATTTTTCAATTTCGTCTGGTTCTTCTCGCCTTTCACAGCTCATGTGAGGATATTCGCTGTAAGTCTGTAAAGGATATGGAGAAACCAATGAGTACCATTGATATACCGATGGGTTAAAGTCAAGTAGTGATGGTCCTAGCGGATACGCCGGTCGTAGTCATTTCTTGCTTTTTTAATCTCTCCACTCTCCTTCGTCACCTCTTCGTACAACTTCATCGTTTTTTCAGCCGTACGAGTTATTTGAAATGCATTTTTATCCCGTATTTTATTAACATTTTTCCAATCGGTCTGACGGGTATAGCACATTAAGCAATCTGCGCCACCAAGTCCAGATCATCGAAACCATGCTCGTGCGCTCACGAACGGTTCACCTCGAAGTTCGACGCCATTGCCGAACAATTGGAGGTGACAAATGGTCTCGTGCATAGTCTCACCAACACAGTCTCACAACTCATGCAGATGCAACAAGCAATGCTTGCCGTCCTCACACAGCAGCATCAGCCCGCCGCTGCACAGATGCCGTTTTCATTTCAATTACCACCACCGTCGTTAACGTACCGATTCCCTCCTCCTCCATCTCCACACTTCTCGCCAGATCAACCAAATCGACCGATCAAGCAACAAAAGTGTAATGAAACGACACAACAAAAACGCAACGTCAAGCCCTACGACTGTGCCTCTCCACCGACGCAAACTCCAAACAGAACAACTCGCCAAACAACGAAAAAACAGAACTCGAACTCCTCTCCTTCTGTCGCAGGGACTCCAGCTGATATCTCGCGAGCTCCGCAGGCAACAACAAACACAACTGACACGACGATGGAGCTCGAACAACATTAGTGCCCCACGCCATCACACAACAATCAACGTCGCATTATTCCCGTACATCCTTCCCCTACCCGGAACTAATCATGAAAATATGCCATTACAACGTCAACACCATCCTTAAATATAAGCATGAACTGCTTACTACCTTTCCCGATGTTGATATTTTCGCACTGAATGAAACCCGACTCCCTTCTTCATCAACGCACCTCTCCTTCCCAGGCTACACCCTCTACAGACACGATCGACCACACAAAGCAGGCGGTGGAGTACTACTAGCACTTCGCAATTCTTTACAGTCAAACCACGTATACTCCGGAATCATCGAACAGAATGAGATAGTCATTGTCGAGCTCAAGTTGAAAAACAGCGATCGGCTCCTACTGGCAAGTATGTATTGTCCGCCGCAGTTACCTCTATCGAAGAAAGCTCTAGACAAGATCGCCAGCATACACCACCGGCATTTGATTCTCGGGGACCTCAACGCAAAGCACGCTGAGCTCGGATGCCGATCAACGAATAAAAGCGGACGAGTTCTTGACGAATGGATTCTTGATAACCACGTGGAGATAATCGGCGATGCACTTCCAACATTCGAAAAGGGAAATTACCACGAGAAGCTCGATTGGGTGTTAGGTGACACACAAACGGCACTACTCACAGACAGCTATACAGTCCACCCGCAACTAGGAGAAACGCAAAGCGGACACTCACCCCTCACTTTCGAATTGTTCCTCGAGCCCGACGGAAGAGAATCCGAATGCGCTCGTCCGCAATTCGTGTTCACCAAAGCAAATTGGAAGCTCTACTCAACCGTCTTAAATCAAAGACTACGACAGAGACCAGCGAAGGAAGTCGAATCCTTCAACGAACTTATCGATTATAACCAGTTCATCACAAAATGCATCGTTGAAGCGACAGAAGCAGCTGTACCAACTCCGGATCACTGCAAACGACCACAACAGATTAGACCCTCAGCAGTGACGCTTCGATTAATCAAAGAAAAACATCGACTTTATAGGCGAATGGCCAAGGATAAAGAAAACAAGTCCATCCGAGCCGAATTCAATAGAAGCCGAC